GCACGTAATAGCTGGACTGAAGCTGTTGATGATGGAGTAGGAGTCGATGTCATCTACCTGGACTTTTCAAAAGCGTTTGCTCGTTTAGACCATGGAATTCTTTTTCAGAAGCTTCGGAATTACGGCATTGGCGACCCAATCCTGAGTTAGATTGGTAATTTTCTACAAGAACGACGGCTAGTGGTGAGAGTCCGAGAATCATTTTCTCATGCAATCTATGTGGCGTGTGGAGTACCACAAGGCTCGGTGCTCGGACCTCGTCTATTCTTGGTGTTCATTAACGATTTGGCGAGATCAATTACTTCTGATTTCCTATTTTTCGCTGATGATATCAAGATATGGCGAAGGATCAGAGGACAGGACGACCACGGACGGCTCCAGTGCGATTTTAACGCAGTGTCGAGCTGGTCAGTTCAAAACGCCCTACCGTTCAACGTAGACAAATGTCGCATTGTACAATTACGCCATAGACATAACTACACTTATTTACTTGGGACAAACGGATTGCAGAATAGCTCCCAGGAACGTGACCTTGGTGTGATCGTACAGAGCGACCTCAACTGTTCAAAACAGGCTGAGGTAGCTGCGAAAAGAGGCAACCAGCACGTCGGCATGTTGCGAAGGGCATTCGGGAGATTTGACCCATCAATCTTCCCAATGATGCACAATTCCTACATGCGCCCGCATGTTGAATGCGCTATCCAAGCTTGGCAACCTTGGTTGAAGCGCGACCTAGAAGCGTTAGAGGCACCACAACGAAGAGCAACAAAGAATGTAAAGGGCCTGCGCTATCACTCTTACCACCGAAGGCTGAAGTTGCTGGGAAGTTGCAGCGGACACTACCGAAGGCTGCGCGGTGATCTCATCTTAGCCTATCAGATACTGAATGACCCCAACCACGTATGCTGCCATTTGCTGAAACTTAGCCACAACACGGAGCTCAGGGTTAATTGCTTAAAGTTGAAGGAACATTATAGCCGTCTAGAGTGTCGACGGAATTACTTTTCCCTTCGGGTTTGCCAACCCTGGAACGCATTCCCAGACTTATTTGTATCCTCTCCTACCTTGGATGTTTTCAGAAAACGACTAGATGTTGCTCTTAGCTCCCAACATTTTGTTACCTAAACTCCTATATTATGGATTACGCCAAGCATGATTTTCAACAGGATTTATGTATCAAATGAACCTAAGTGAGCGACCAGATTTTACTTTTCTCACTCCTTATGTCAACGATCACTGCACCGCAGTGTCTTCCTAAACGTTTACGCTCGATAATTTTTTAATGATGTTAATTATCGAAGTATTCATCTCGGCAGACGTTCAATAGATGACCCATATTTTGATTTCATCGTATTCATCGCAACCATCCTACGGGACGTGTCAAGCACTCGCTTTTATCCCGTGATAAATCATTGTTCATTGTGTTTGCAATGTACCTTGATTGACCACCATACTTGATGTAGTCGGCATAAGACAGGCCGTTAAAAGTGACTAAGCTCACTAGATTGGTAACAAACCTCAAGAACAGACGGGACTCTAATACCAAACGTTGTGGTACACCACACTTGAATTGGCTAAGATTTGACACGGATTCACGCACTTTCACCGAATGACTTTGAAAGAGGAATTTATTGCTCCACTTTAAGCGGATGTCACCAGTGCCATATCCCCGAATCTCTGCGAGGACGCAATAGTTCAATCGGTCTAATGTCTTAGAGATGTTGTGGTAGGTAACATCAACTCCTACATCATCCACTGTTTCGTACTGATAGTAAACTGCTAGTGCGCGATCAATTCTGGCGGAAATCATGTTGCTCCTGTGTAATCTAGTCAAATTCGTCCAGGCAAGACGCGAGTGCGTCAACAATGAGCACCTCCATGAATTGGAAATATTTGGTAGAAGAATCAATGAACGACAGGACAGAGAACTGGATCGGAATGACCGTTTCTTTTGTAAATTAGTGTTATTTTCATATTTTTCTCATTGTAAGAATTTAGCTTCTAAAGAAAGCAGCACTGTAGGTACATGCCAAAAGTCTACCCGTCCTAATGTAGAGGGGGCGTTTCCAAGAATGCCTCGGGGGAGCTCTTCGGAGCTAGCTGAGAGCGGATCGAGAAGGACGGCTAGCGACGAGCCTGGGCCCGGAACTACGGAGCAGGAATATGTGGACAGCGCAATAAATCAGACAGATACGCCGCTAGCGCAGCCCACAAGAGCGAGGCCGAGCCGATTGACACATCTCAGAACAAGCAAGTCGAGAGCTCTCGAACGACTCCTGGCCGATCCAAATCGGGTACAGAGAAGTGAAGATCGAGGCGGAAACAGGAAGGCGGGTCTTCCAAGTCAGAGCTCCCGAGGCGAAAGGACTGGTTCGTCTCTAACATCCGCGCCTGTGTTGCGTTGTGGGACGGAAATCTAATCGATATTCGGTGGCGCGCGTGAGACCCTCAGGTGTCCGTTTTCGGTGTGCAATAAACGTCTACCCCCCCTGTCGTGTCGTTCTCGCTACACTAAGCCATGGCATGCATCTTCGGATAAAGATCATCAGTTCCTGGAGAGCTACGTGCAAGAATATGCAGCAACTTCCTCGTCACAATATCTAACGTAGAGGGAGTGTGCATAAGTCTCGGTGATTGTACAATACATTTCAAGGGTTTAGATCGCGAAGCACCTTAGAAATTTGACGCGTACTGCTACCGAAGAGCGTTTGTCGCTTTTATTAGTATGTAATTGTTCCTCCGCTGATAGGAGGAGAAGTTCTCCTTTGTACCCTGCAAAGTCTATTCGCGACCTTGTACAGTCGCTTATTAACGGAAGTAAAACCTGTTGACATATCTCACTTTATCTTGGCGTACAAGTTGAATAAAATGGTTACGGTGGACAGTATGGAAGTTCCGAGTGTTCCGACTGGTGGCGATTTTGTGAAAATGAAATGCTGCATTTCGAAAAACAGTGTGCTGATACGTATTACTCAAATATTCCTATTTCGTAGTTAGACACGTAGTCTGGAACTCGGAATGAGAAGGCACAACCCGCTCACACACTTGGAATAGTATTTTGACACAAGAGTCGAAGCGAAAGGCATGCACGGTAAGACGAGCCAAGCAGAACAAGAATAAAAGGCCAGTTAGTATCGATCAATGTGACAAGGCTGTTCTATCGAATCGCATGAGTGTGTGGGTGGTTGGGTAACGTCAATACGTGCTCCCTTAATATTCACCAGCTGTTTTCGTTAGTTAGCGGTGTGCAGACCATTTTGTGCTCAGGTGAATAACTTGGTGAGTCACCTCAAAGCAGAATTTTACCTTTGTCCTGTCACTTTAAACAATCACTTTATAAGTACTACTCCAGTCGGACAAAAGCGTTGCCCATCGTGACCCGGTAGCCAAAGGGGTAGTAGTGTGGGCTGCTATTCCAATGGTCGTGGATTCAAATCCTGCTGTCTTCACCTGATGAGATGAAATTACACCGAAACGCGTCGTGGCTGTGCAGTGTTTTCGGGTGGGCAACACCCAATTTCCATCTACTACTCCAGTCATTCTACCGGGGCCTCACAAGCAATGCTTTTTGCCCGTTATAAAGCATAGTTCGTTGTCTCATGGTCCGTATAAACTGATCCATATTGCTCGGACGGGTTGTCTTAGTTTCCGATGCAGCAGCAACCAGGGTTTTGAACTTGTTAACGAAACTTCCTCCGGCAATATCTGCTGCATCCTCTGCTAAACCTCCATTTGCTCTCTTCAATCAGTCTGAGCATTCTGCATAGCAAGTGTACATGAACAACAAGGTTTCATAATCACCATGGCCTAAAGAAGAGTCGATGTTCCGCCTCCCGTTCATAAGTGTTAGTTGGTAAGTATCATGTCCTGTACAAATGACTCGTTCGCTACACTGCGCATGATGGGTAAAGTGACGTGCTTATAAAACGGAGAGTTAGAGACAGAGGCTTGCAAATCATCCATGAATTTGCATCCTGTATAGCTTGGGATTTCAATGCATGTAAATTACAATCACCAGTTATTAGATTGTAGCCATACGCCCTATTTAACAACCGCCGCAGCGGAGCATTTAATTCGAAGTCCAGTTCAGGTGTAGAAGATCGGGGCGATACACAACGACCACAGGGTAAACTTCGTATTTTCTCAACCGTAGGCAACAACAATTGCAATCGGGAACTGAAGTCGTTGAATCCCAGGTTGATTCGCACTGGAACCCGTTGCGAGTATACGCGTCTGCACCAGTTGCTTTCCTGCTTAATCATTCCATACAAAGGGCATACCTGTTAGCACGATTTCAACATCTGTTATCTAGCATCACAACGAACTCTCCGTGATAGTGATGAAGTCCTAAGCTTTGAAGCACATCGAAGTCGCAATTTGGCCAATTTGAATGGTAGGACTGCAGCATTTGTGTAAATACAGGGTTTTCCTGGAAACTAGAAGCGTTTTTGTTATGGTGGATAAGGCGTGTGAATTGACGTCGACCGATGTAACTTCAGCGGTTACTCGTATTTTTATGGGCGGTCGATGTGAATACAATTCGACACAAAGTCCTAATACATTGATGATTGTTCTTCATCCAAACCTGGGGAGCGTGTTTTCTCCCCTTTGACAGCCATATCCGTGGCCAGGGGTTTGGAACAAACAGTCAGATTGTGTAGATTTATGAGCAATTACCATGCTAACTGCATTATCGTCTCAGTGGACTGGAAAGCTATCTTACCCAATCGTTCATTAACTGCATTGATGAGTCAGAGTCTTTGTTCAGTTACAACTCACTTTGAGCTTACATGGCAGCTAAAACCATCGAAGCGAAGATCATGGAAACACCACATTAAATAGTGAGCCTAAACGGTAAGTGAACCAACACAATCCGCTTCGATAGCGCGTTAATCAACCAGCGAACAAGCAAAACGTTTGAAGACAACTGGGTAACTACTGAAAATTTCCTGACAAGGTTCATATTTCATTTCGCTTTAGTAGTTCAAAGTACTCCTTACCTTACTTTGAACATCTGAGACGCTTACTTTTCTCTCGGAGTGAATGCTCATTTGATGCATTCTATTTTCCTTCACTGCGTACGTTTCCTCCAAGTCACTGACATCTTCATGGTTGGTGTGTGGAGTTAAGTCACCACTTTGGTCCTCGGTATTCCGTTCCTGTACACCCAATCGTTTGCGTTTCTCATGTGTCAAATAAGAGAGGTCTTGAAGAGCGCCACTTGCGGTTGATCGCTCCCCGGCTTGCTTTGCCAAATCTGTGCTTATCCTCGCATCTAGGTTAGTCAAATCAGATGCAATGTATGCCAACAGCCATTGTAATCCCAATCGAATGGATTTATCCAACCTCCGTCCAGGCTTTGGTAGAGCACAACAGCATTCCTAAGTCACATGGAAGAAATGCACGTAGAAAAACCTATGATACGACAGTGTAGTTGGATACAATATGGTAAAGGTTCAAACCGGAAATTGCATTCAGAGGTACATTGGATATAAGAAATCAAGTAGAGTATGCAAACTTGTCAGAATACGTCCAGTAGTTTACAATGGATCACCTGATTTTAATACAGCTCTATTTGCAGCCCTAGTTGTAGAGCGTCACTCAGAAATGATTAGCCTACAATACGTCACGGTGCTTTTCACACTAAGTACTGTATGTATCACCTATTCGGTGAATAGGAATAGTATTTAGCACAAAGCATGCTTTTCACTTCATGTGCAAATGCGATAATGAATATCAGCACCGGAAAGTTTGTTGCGTGTTGCACCTCTTATACTCGAGGCTTTGTTGCATGAACAGTATTTACACGAATAGCTTTATCTAAATGTTTAGACTAGAAGACGTAGATTCACCTAGTCATATTATAGTGAAAAGGAGACGGGAGAGAACTCAAAATAGGTTACGCAGTGTTAGTGCGATCGAGTAGATATCACACCATGGTGTCAATTGTTGTTTGGATGTTGTTTGGTTCTCAACGCAGTCAGGCATGTACAAACTATGTCCGCACCCTACTGATAATGACAAATGTTTAGTTGCGACTAATGTTAATGCCTGATAGACAGTATGAAGAAAATCGGGCAGCATGCTTAGCATTACAGTAACACCGATGCATCTCAGAGTAACAAACTGAGACGCGTTTGATAAAAAAAAATTTGGATGCATTTTAGCACGAATCTCATACACGAAAATATCATGTTCTTCTGGTTTCAACGTGTTAGCTTGATTGTTAGAGTGGGATATTGTTAACTGAAATAAACGAGAAGCCCGTGCATCGCATCACACTAACTCTGGAGCTTGGTAATGGAAATAAACAATTTCAGGAGAATATAATTCGCACGAAGCTTCGCTATGAGGACTAACCAAGTTTTATCACAATGTTGCACTTCCTATCAATTTGGATTGCGCGTTGAAATCAAACTAGAGCTTGTACTCTGGAACTTAGCACTGGAGCCAAAAGCTATAGTATGTGACAGACATTTGTGTAACTTAACTCTTCGGAAGAGGGTATTGTGCGTGTGTCAGAGCTATATAAATGAGAAGACTTACCAATCTGCAAGGACAGTGGAATTCATTCACTAAGTCGTCCAACTGTAGTGCCTCAATCAGCTCTGACTCATCTAGAGCGTTAGTTGCATCTCTCTTATTAGCTAGTCTAAAAATCATGAGAAACATTTGAAAACTCACAAAAGCACCGGTTTGCCTGAGATGGATGGATGGGCCAATAGTTTTCGTAGAACTGTTTTGCACTCCAGTAATCGTTCAGCAGCGGTGGCGTCCACTACGTAGATAACGCCGTGAAGTTCACCAAAGTATGTTTGCCAGATAGCACGTATCGTTCGGCCACCTCCAAGGTCGTAAAGGTTCACATTGAACCTATCGATAGTGAATTCGACTCGATCGAACCCGATCGTAGGTGTGATGGGACCGCTGGAGACTGTGATGTAAACAAAAGGATAACCAAGTTTCACACATACTCCCTCTGATAGTACGTGCTATTGTTGTTTTTCCGGCATTGTCTAATCCTAATAGAGCAAGATATATTTCTCTGAAAAGTAACACAGAATGGCCATTGTTAGGTCAAGACGAGTGCGGTAATTAGACAGGTGAAACAGTGTAAATTGGATGCATAGGCAATAGGTTAATTTCCGTGGGCTAAACGATAGTTGGAGCAACCAAAATGATCAAAACGAAATGAGCACTTACAAACTAACCACCGTGTTGTGTGCAACCTATTTTTATGAATTGTGCTGTTTGCTGGGTAGGATCAATATATGCGTAGATGTCTAATATATGGAGAGTAATCGTCTTTTACTTTAAGACAAGGTGAGGATCGACCCTGAGTAAGAACAAGAAATCAGGATCCAGTCACGTGATCTAATCACTGCGTGTTGAGCACGCAATGTGCCATTGCAGTGTTCGATGCCTCCCACCCGATAAACCGCGATGGCGGAGTGCTCACATGGTCACAGCAGCTTATCAGCATGGATAACCAAGTATGCGTCCAATCGTCTTGACTGTCACATAAAAATGAGCAGTAGAAGTTGACTAGATATATGGGAATTAATCACACCAATGGCCTTAACCCCAAACTAGTAAAAGTAGGGCAATGTATTCCGTCCACATCTCAAGGAATAGGTGAAATGCGCAGTCCGCTTAGCGTCCAATCAACAGCACATGCAGGATTTCTTGTGACAGAAGCCGATACACTATGTAGCCAATCAGAGACGCAGACTGTGATAATAGTCGATACGCTTAGTTGCAAATACCTACCAACCCTATCGGACAGCTGAACTGTGGTGCGTTATATTGTGAACATGTGTGTATACGTGTGAGCTTAGCTTATATAATCGATTGCAAAGGATCGACTACCAAAGCAGCCTGTTTGAACTTCACCACAGATTGTCTGTGAGGCTAACAAGCAAAAGTAGGATGCAGCACTTCGTATGGCGGTTAATACACTAGACAACTAATCACGGGCAGAAGACCGCTATTGGGGCGGGCGAAGGAACATGTCAGATACAAAGCCAATTAACATCTCTAGGAGTCAGAATGCGGGCGCTTGTATCAAGGTCACAGATCGCAAATTACCTGCCGAAGGGCAGAGACCACTGGTACATGTACACCGAGAGACGGCCCGCATAACCAAACAACATGGCTGTTAGGCGGGTCACGGCTGGATGAATGACCCAAAGTGGAGGAACCCAAACCAATGAATGCAAACGCATGGCCAGCGCGGAAGCCAGTGAGACGCGACGCAGAAAACAGTAATATGTAGTATAAAATAAACCATGGATCAGCAATAAAGATTTGCATGTCGCTGCACAAGCTTCTTTATGTTTACGGAGAGCCGCTCGCTTACGCACAGCACTAACGATTTCAAAGGGACTAAATGCTTGGTCAGGGCCTCATTGTACTTGATTTCTGGCTTAGGTAACAGGTGGTGAACTCAAGTTATGACGTAACTCACTTATTACGACTACATTTGAGTCCATGCTTTATCGCAAAGTGATATTGCAAACCACATATTTATAGTACTTTTACAAGAGATGAATATGGTGAATACTACGAATAACCTCAGCCCAGGAAGATTGCGGAAACTTTTGGATACATTTTAGTTAACTGGTTCCTCAATCGCAATGAGGCTGGACCTTACCGTGGTGCGATGGTTTGCGTGCCTCAGAGATCCATTGAGCTATGCTGGGTGATGCATTTTTTGCACCTTCAGAGCCACTCATGCCAGATTGGTCAATGGTTAGAGGCCAGACAAACTCAGTCTCCTGGTCCTCCAGGTTGGGGGTTGGAATGGGGGTGGCTCCTCATTTCATAAAACGGGCTCCTCAGTCCAGTGCCAAAACCCCCTGCCTTGCGGTAAGGTTTTTGAACCAAAAGCTTTGGTTGAGAATCCTAATCGTTCTTCTGTCTAGGTCTGGTCAACCTGACAGTATTCTGTCCACGCAATACAATGAAACTTTCCTACAGCAAAATCTTGATGCTCTGGCCGTCGCAGAGGGTAATAAACGGCGCCCTATCTGCTGCATCGAGCAGGGTGGATAGGGGTAAGGATGCCACTGCTCAGGCCTTCCCGTCTTCTTGTACTCCTTCTTGCGCTTCTTCATCCTTATCGTCCCGCTCCGACTTTACTTATATCCCCCATTTTCAATCCCCCAATTCTTGGCCCTCCCCCAGCTTACTTTAGTAATCGCTTGTCTTCTAATTTCAAATCACACACAATCGCAGCGCCTCGCTCTAATCCAGTCGACAAGTCCATGTTCAACCAAGCGGACAACGTCAGTTCATCCGTTTCCCTTTGGAGTCCTCGTGTCTCGCTAAGATTGGCATGCCTCAACGTGCGCACCTTGCTGCAGATTGGCCAACAGGCAGCACTTGCTCGCACACTAGAGACCTTGTCGATCGATATTTGCTGTTTATCAGAAACCCGCCTGCAAGATTCGAGCTCCGTGCTTACCCTGAGATCCCCTACAGGCGACACTGGCGGCATATTCTCATTGCGCCTGTCTGACGATGATGCAGCTTCAAATGCCGGTCAAGCTGGCGTCGGCATTGTTTTGAGTCCCCGGGCTGAAGCTGCCCTGATTGACTGGATCCCAGTAAACAGTAGGATGTGCGCCGTTAGATTAGCTGATTCGTTCCGTGCTACGAAGTCGCGCGGGGACAAACGGTGCCCATTTGTCATTGCGGCTTACGCCCCTACAAATTGTAGCACTGACTCGGTAAAAGATGATTTCTATCAGCAACTGCACGAGCTCCTTCGTTACAGAAGAAACACGGATACTGTGGTGTTGGCTGGTGATCTAAACGCCCAAGTCGGGAAATTGTCCTCTGATGAGCTTCATCTGGGTGGCCAACATGGTGCGGGCTCCCGTAATGATAATGGTGAGCGATTGCTACAGCTGTGTGAAGATGCTCGCCTCTTTCTCGCGAGCACCAACCGTTGACACAGCACCCTGTGGGGTAAAGTCGACTACGTGTTATGAGACATACGCATATAAACCTTGCCTCATCATCCAGGGTTCGCCTGCCACTCTCGAATTCCGCAAATCACTCAACCACAGTTGTTCTTGTAGGTGCATCATCACCAAACGCAGCGCGCAATCGCTCAACATTCTGGTGCTGCCTTAAATCACACGTGTAGTCATAGAAAATCATCGCCCTCCAGTGACACTGATTGAATTCCATACTGACAGTCAGCGTATAGTGGCCCTTATGAGTTGTGAGCTGCGCTGGACTGCTGATATAGGGTTCTGTGAATTGAAATCGCTGAACAGTGTTCTGGAACAATTACAGTTCACACTTTCCTTGCCAGGTCATTTGCACCTAATCTGTGTACTGCATATCCGTAAACTTATTGCTCGGCCCTCATAACCTCCTGTAGTGCAATCTAGTGTGATAATACTCGTTTCTCACAGGGAGTTAGATACCAAGAGTAAGGCATATTGCCGTTAGTCGGTATTTTGATGCGACTCAGTACATAAGAGCGGAACATAGTTATCGTGTAGCAGATTTTTCCAATTAGTCTGATGTATAGCATGTCAGCGGCGCAGCAAATTGGCCTCGTATTTGTACCTTCGGGGAAATCATGCAATATCTTTCATATCGCTGTTGAATATAAAAATACCTTAGTTACACGGAAACACCGTTTAATGACAACATTCCAAATTTAGCTGGCCAATGCTAGGTCAAGCCCGAACAAATTGTGTGGGATATTTGCGGCATCAAAACCAAAGATTATAGACCGTTGAGTTAGTAACTTACAAAACAATAAAGTAAGTTGAACTATAGTGTATCGAAGCGAATAATTATGGCGAGGTATCAGCTACCAGCCCTAAGTACCTAACTGTAAATATCATGTTAAGAATGCGGCTCATGAAGTACAAGTTATTAGTTATCCAATTTGATACCATCAGGTTGTCCGATGCAGCCTCAATAATGCCTATCGGTTTTCGAAAATTTTACAAGTCAACATTTCTCGTTTATCAAACAATATGTCCTTAAAATTTCTCAAGTTGCGTCTCTCAGGACAAATTATTCCTAGCATGGATTATCTCTGCTGATGTAGATCAGGTCGCTTCCCACCCATCTCCATTTGTAACTTGCGCCGTAACGGAGAAAGATGTGTCTCTGCCTACATTAAATGTATCTAGGTGATGATCATCACAATTGAGATTACTCTAGACTTGATCATGCCTGCTTTGGTGTGTCCCGATGAATTCGAACATGAACTAGTTATTTACAAGGGACAAAACTGCCTTTCAATGTCTTAATGAGTACCAGTGAAAATAAATTAATCCCCGCATTACTGTCATGCAGTGTGGTTGTTCTGATTCTTTCTTGGGTCGGCCACTGAGGTGCAAACCCCGTGAAGCTATAGCGTCTGGCTCTATTAGAACTTAGTTTGTCTATCAGGGTGTGAGGCTTGCAGAGCAATAAATCCTGTAGTGTTCAGTCAGGCAGCCAACAATAAACATTAGTACTCTTCACCCATGTGCCGACGCAGTGTTCCTGAGTGAGCATCTTGGCAACACTTCCTGGTTAATCACTCAATGCAGATTTGGTCAGGTGTAACATGAGGTTTGTAGACTGCTGCTTCGCATCTCATCCCTATGTCGAGCAGGTTTATTCTGGTAGCCCGTTGCTTTGGTAATTAGTCACTATAATATCCAAATTCGCAACCCATTGGCTTCTCCAACCCATTTTCTATGCGTTGACCTAAACTCCCTTTGTAACAATGTAACGTGTTCCCCGATTACCTGTCTCTGACTGTACTGCTCTTAATTGGTACAGGGACCTACGCAATATTGAGTCACACACATCATCTCATGCCGCAACCAAACGTAATTCATTGCCAATAATCGCATCGCATTTTACATTATGCGTCCTATTATTCATGATTTACGTTTTTTCCACCTCATATTATCCTCACCATTGCTACTAGTATCTTTCGCCAATCTTCACTGGGTTTCAGCTGCGCTGCTCATGGTTAAGCTGTATCTGTAGTTGCGCTTGTGTCATTTTATCCCTCCACTC